AAAAAAAAAAAAAAAAAAAAAAAATGCAGGGTATAATTTGATATTAGGGAAAGGCAAATGAAAACCACAAATAGATACTACTTCATATCCACTAGAATGACTAGAATCAAAAAGTCAGATAATAACAAGTGTTGGCAAGGATATGGAGAAATTGGAACCTTTGTGCACTGTTGGTGGAAATGTAAAATGGTGTAGCTGCTCTGGAAAACAATTGGCAGTTCCTTGAATGATTAAACATAGACCTAACAAATAATCTAGAAATTCTGCAAGGTAAGAAATGAAAACACATATGCACATAAAAAATTGTTCACAAATGTTTATAGCAGCATTAGCACAGCCGAAAGGTAGAAATACCCTCAAAGATCCATCAACTTACAAATGGATAAAAGGGTGACACAGCCATACAATGGATTATTCAGAAATAAAAATGAATGTATTGATACATGCTAGAATATGGATGAAACTCTAAAACATTGTTAAGTGAAAGAAGCCAGTAACAAAAGACCACATATGATTTCATGTACATGAAATGTCCAGAATAGTTAAATACATAAATTAGTGGTTGCCTGACTGGCCAGAGTGGGAGGTGGGTGGCAAGAGATAGCAATGACTGCTAAAAAATGGTTTCTATTTGAGATGATGAAAATGTTCTAAAATTGACTATGGTGATGGTTACACATATCTGTGTATATACTAAAAACTATGGAATGGGTTAAATGGGTGAAATGTATAACATGTGAATTATGTCTCAATAAAGTGTTTTTTTTTTTTAAATTACATGATTCAATTTATATCACATTCTTGAAAAGACAAAACTAGAGACAGAATAAATCAGTGATTTCTAGGGTTTAGGGGCTGGGAGTAGGATGTGGCTTCCAAGAGAGCATGAGGGAGTTTTTATGGTGATTGAATTATTCTATATCCCCATCGTGAAGGTGTTTACACATATCTACACACGTTGCAAGACTATATACCAGAAAGTTAATTTTGCTTTAAAATATAAAATTTTTTAAATGTCAAAGAGAAGCCAATAAAAAGAAAAAACTTCTTCCCCAACAACTCATTCCTAAAATTATTGGGTAAAATGAGCAAGATAGGATCATAAGGTGAGTGGGATGCAATGGCCCATAGTGAGGTGTTAGGGTCCAACCAGAGTGAGGAGGGCATCCCTCAACAAACAGCACAGGATGTTGGAGCCTGAGCAAAGTGAGGAAGGCATTCACATGGGGGATGACCTACAATAGAGAACCTAACATATTAAGGATAATAGGAATCAGGTTTCTCAGTGTTATTGAAGGGAGTTATAAATATGGAAATGGAGAAAACTAAAATGAACACTATGGGATTAGAATTAAAAGTTTAAATGTGAGCTCATGGTTTTCAATATATAGAAATATGAATGTAAATATATACATATAAATATATGTGTTATATATATATTCACCAACAACTGCACATTAGCGTACACTTCTTGGCTTTTAAATATCATTACCCACTAAAGAAACCAGGCTCTTGGTTGATGGCTGGGCTACGACAGGGAAAACATAATGAGCCTGGTATATCTTCTGCCAGAGAATAAGAAATTACCCCAATAATGGTAGGAACACATCAAAAGGACACAGAAACCACCTAGAATGATCTTCCAGTGGCCAAAAGTACAATTTTAAGCAAAGTAATGAGAATAACAGAATAACACTGAATAAAACAGGAAATCATGAGTCTATACAGATACAAATAAATTGAAAGTTTGATGGGAAACAAGGTAGTATTTTGAAACTACATTCAGACAAAATAATTATAAACATATAGAGTAACTTCACGGTTGGGAAGTCTGGCAGATACTACTGTAATCAGTGATTTAAGTAGTACCAGCAGAAATAGGACAAATTGAAATTATTAATCCATGATAGGATGCAGTAAGAACACATCATCACTTCTATAACTTTCCTAAAACATTTCCAAAGACATATAACTTGAATCTAATCATGAAGAAGTATCAGACAAAATTCAAAATAAGGGATGTTCTACAAAACTGGTTTGTAATATGCAAAAGTGCCAAGCTAAAGCTGAGAAAAAAATGAGATCTTGTTCCCCACTGAAGTAGACTAAAGACCCCTGACATTTAAAGGGAAGATATGATTAACTGGATTGTCTTGCTACAAAAGAACATTATTGGGACAATCAGGTCAATATGAATGGAGTGAAGGTCTGAGGATTAGATAGTAGTAACATGACAACGTAAATTTCCTAATATTAATGGTTGCATTGTAGTTATGTAATAGACTGTCCTCCTTTGAAACAAACATACACTAAAGTACTAAGAGGCAATTAACAGGGCATCAGGCCAACTTATAAAATGGTTCAGGAAAAAAGAAACTGTGAAATTATTTAAATTTTGTTTCAAGAATTTAAAAGGGCATAAACAGGATGAAATGAAATTTCAATAGACAATTCCTACTTAAGATCAGAATGATACCATAGACTTTCAATCAGTGACTTATTTTGATTTCTGCTGCTAACAAAACTATATTCACTTAGCTGCTTCTCTTTTATATTAATCCCTTCGTATAGTTACGTATTTAAATATTTTTCAATTTTTTAACATAAAGTAATGCCTCAAGGAATAATATTCTAATTAAGAAATTTTCATTAACTTCAAAATGATATTACTCAAAATACATTTGTGGGCTTTTGTCCTTTTTTTTAAGAGACAGGGTCTTGCTCTGTCACCTAGGCTGTAGTGCAGGATCAAGGCTCACTGTGGCCTCCGACTCCTGAGTTCAAGCAATCTTCCCAACTCAGCTTCCCAAACAGCTGGCACTACAGGCACACACCACCACTCCTGGGTAAATTCTCTTATTTTTTGTAGAGATGAGGTCACATTATGTTGTGCAGGCTGTTCTCAAACTCCTGGCCTCAAGTGATTCTCCTACCTTAGCCTCCCAAAGTGCTAGGATTACAGGCATGAACCACCATACCAGGCTTTTTCCTTTCTTAATAATTTTTTCAGTACTATAATTTTCCTGTGTGAATTAGTATACTTAGACAAAGGGGTACACAATTCCTATTTAGAAAATTTTATTGAACATCACACTTAAGAAAAACTTAATATTACCTGAAGGCACCCTTTCATTTCACATGATCTACCCTAATGTTTTTTATATTAAAAATATGGTTAAATATGAAATTAGTAAAATGCAGCATATAAAACTTCATGCTGAGCAAAAACAAGTCCAAAAAAGTTCCCATACATCCATAGAATAATTCCAACAGGACATGTTTCCTATGTAAATCATACCTGAATGCAATTTTTAGAACCATTTTAAAATATATTTTGCAATTTGTTAACTGTAGGCATCCACATTTTTCTTCCACCACATAAATCTGTTCCTTTGATTAAGTTGGCAATATCTGCTAGGATCCACAGAATGCAGCAAAACAAACAACAAAAAAAAACCCCAGTGGTTATTTCTCAAGATTTGAGAAATCTGGTCCACCTTTAGTGTAGTTTCCTGAGATTTCTGCTCCACTGAAGTCAAAACCAGGATTCTAAAAGATATGAAAAAATTGTAATAAAATAAAACTTAGTAAAAATATAAGTATGAACTGGCAATTTAGAAAATAAGATCTAAATGACCAATAAATATATAAAAAGCTACAAAACAGCACTGTTATTACCAAAATGGAATTTAAAACTATGAAGTATTTTTCAATTTTCAGAATTACAAATATTTAGAAGATCAATATGTATATTAGTGTTGGCAAGTATATGGAAAAACAAATAAAACATATATTTCAATATCAGTGTATAAACAGAATTTTATAAATAGGTAGCATTTTTTGAGAGCTTACTATATGCCACACAGGGCCCTAAGAGCTATACTAATATTAAAATATTTAATCCTCAATAATAATCCTATGAATTTTAAGTACTACCTCAAGATTTAGTCTTTTCTATGGATTTCATTTATTCAACATTTATTGAACTCCCACTGTTTGGAAGATACCATTAGAGGCATGTGGAACTCAAGAGTTAACAACACAAAGATCCCTGCTCTAGTGGATTACATTACAGCAGGAGAAGACAAATAAAAAATATAAATTACTCAGTGCAGGGATTGGCAAACTTCTCTGTAAAGAGCCAGGCAGTAAATATTTTAGTCTTTACAGGCCACATAGTTTCTGTCACAACTACTCAACTGTATGAAACTACTCTTGGAAAGACAGTACACAAACAAATGAGCATAGCTGTATTCTAGTAACACACACACACACACACACACACACAAAACAGGCAGTGGGCCAGATTTGGCAATAGTCTGCCAACCCCCGATCTAGCTTGTTAAAAGTTGGTAAGTGATTGAGATAGGAAAAAAGATCTCCTATTGAGATAGGAAAAAAAAAGTAGGATAGGATAAAGGAAAAGATTATAATATTTAAATGGGATGATCAAAGTATGCTTTATTAAGCAATGACTTGAAACAGTGAAGAAGCCAGCCAAGCTATGGAAGTACATTCCAGTCAGAAGGATGGCAAAGGAAAAGGGCTGGCATGTTGCTTAAGGAATAGGAAATAGGCCAGTATGGCTACAGCAGAATGACTAAGAGAGATAGCAATAAGAGAGGAGGTCAGAGAGATAATGGAATAACTGATTATATAGGATCTTTTAAATGACCCTGTCTTTTACTAGAGTGAAAGAGGAACAACTTGCAGAGCTCTGAGAAGAGAAGTGACATGATCTGACTTGAATTTTAAAAGAACTACTTTAACTGCTACTTTGAAAAGGCTGTGCCTGGACAAGGGAAGAAGGGAAGAGACCAATTAGAAGGCTATTGGAATAATCTAGGCAAGACAATAAAGGTGGTCCAGATAAGAGTAGTAGTAGAGTTTGGGGTGATAAGTGGTCAAATTCTGAATATATTTGGATGGTAGTGCCAGTAAGATTTCCTAACAATTTGGATAGGTATAAGAGTATAGGTATAAGAGGAAAAAAAAATCAAGGATTATTCTCAATTTTTTTTGACCTGAGCAAGTAGTTTCCATCAATTGAGATAAGAAGGCTAGGAAGGAAGCCGGGGTGTTCAATTTGGACATTTGAGTTTGTTATGTCTGTTAGATAGCCAAATAGACACGGATATGCAGGTCCAAAATCCAGGAGAAAAGTCCAGGCTAGAGATATACATCTGGAAATCACTGTCATATAGATATAAATTATTCATCATAATTTTAGAAGTACTGTGATCCACAGTAAATTTTTCTCCCAGATATTTATCTTAGAACACTTGAGTAGTTTCACAGAGAAGCATAGCTTTATTTAAAATGGAGAAAAATAGAAAAATCTAAATTATATCAAAGGCAAATAAATAGCTAAGTAATTATGATATATCTAAACTAGAGAATACTCTGAATAGTTAAAAGGAATGAGTTTTATCTGTATGTACTAGGAGGGAAAGAGACCCAAGACATACTATTAAATGAATAAGCAACCTGATGAACAATATACACACAAAAAATCCTCCATTTATGTTGAAAACAAAACAAATAAGCCCAATATATGAAATGAGAATGAGACAGATGTGTGGAATGGGGGATTATGGTGAAGGGGACTTTCAGAAACTTTTTACACTATGTAAGTCTATACTGATCCAATTTTTACAAGAGTTTATTAATTTATTACTGATGTACATTAAGTAAATTTAAACTAAGAAATCATAACACAAATAAGTTTCTCTAAAGAAAATTTTTAAAAAATCAAATCCATACATGGACCATTTTTCTAATCATTTACTTTCAAAATTCTTCTGAAGAATTGTTGTAACTTCTCATGATTCTTGAGTTTTAATTTCAAGTAATATTTATTCTGTAATTTTTAGATATTTGACGACACATATTCATACATTCATCCAACTTACTTCTTTCTGGAATCTCTCTAATGTAAGCTTTCTCTGCATTTGGTCTTGGACCCAAGGATCAGCTGCATATTCAGATTCTAGAAGAGAAGTCCAACAATTTGCTGCATCTCTCTTTGTCTTTGTAAGAACAATACGAACCATTTTTCTATCCTCTAAAGAAAAAAAAAAATCACAAATAAAGAGCTCATCATTATATTTTCCAAAAACCTTTAGGTAATCTTGACATACAATTGTTTTCAACACATTTCTATTATTATAGCTTTCAAAGCTACAAAGACAAAAGGACCTAATACAAAAATGGAAAAGATACTAAGTTCCAAGACAAAATTTTAAAAAAGATTCTATGAATTATAATAGTTATCCTTACCCAAAGTCCATGTTCCCTCATCAGCTATTGTAGAATCAAAGAGTTTGCCCTGAAAAATAAACATTTAAGACACTAAAAATATGGCATTTCATTGATTTTTATAAAGCTTTCATGACTATGATTTACCTAATTTCCTACTTGATCCACATCCTATACCATTTCACCACATTTATAGGTGTTCAGTGCTAAATTTCCTCCTAGCTAATGAAATGAAACCTAGTTTACATTGCATGGAACATTTATCATGACAAAAAAACACACAGCTCTCTAAGATGAGGGCACCTTAATTTTTAGAAGATGCAGATATACTACTGATCACTAATTAGCCAAATGTCTGAAAGGCTTTAATTCTAACAATTCAAATGAACTAGAAGGATCTCCTGCTAAAACTATGAAGAAATGCCATATTTTTAGGTAAACTTTAAAAAACTGGTTTAATCACATTGGGTGAATGGCATTAAAAAAATTTAAAGCTCATACTGTAGATTCAATTTCAGTTTAGTTGTGACTGATTTTTCACAAACTCTTATTTTAAGTAATCAAAATACAAATTTAAAGGAGAATGTATATGTTCAAATTCATTTTATATAAAATAATAAAAGCTAACATGTAGTATGAGATTACAGACCAGGCACTACTACAAGATTTCCAAAACATGAATACTATGTGAGGCTCAAAACAATCCTATAAAAAAAAGGTACTATAATTACTGCACCTTGTGTATGAAAAAGAGACACTTGCCCAAGGTTACAAAACTAGAAAACGGGTGGAGTCCGGTACCTTACCTAGTAGTTACCCGTCACCACTACAGACACTGCCATTAAACATCACAGGCATCTAATCTGAGAAAGTAATCTGACTTCAACTTGTTAATTAAATGTAATTACAGGCTGAACAAGGAAGAAGCGGATCCCAGAGCCAAAGGACACTGGTGAAAATAAATAAGGTACTATTTTCTTCCCACACTTCACCACCTGCTTGACCACACTACAAACATGCAGGATCTTTCTAATTTTTGATTAGGAAATAAATCACCTGACATCATCTCTGAATCTTTATCCCATTATCCTAGCTTTTATTTTCTTTGTTGTACTTTTCTGTAGCTACTTGCATATTTATCACTCATGCCTCCCTACCAGAGCGCAATCTCTTGAGAGTAGGAATCTTTTCTATCTCGCCGTATATTCTTGGCACCTATATGAGTATACGATAAATATTTGTTCTTTTAACAAGCTAGTTAGGCTGTTCCCAGATGAAGACCCTCAGAAACAAAAGAAGCCGTCCCACTTGGTATAAAAATAAAACAGAAAACTGGGCTCCTCAAATTTCCACAAGTCAAAGACTCGTCCCGAGGATGTGGGCTCCGATCAGGTCAATATAATCGCTTTCTCTTTCTGCCATCCAAAGGACCCCTCTAGCAATCCAAAAATTGTTCCAAGGAAACAGTAAACGTTAAGGCTAGGGAATTCGGAAAAAAGAAATTGAGCACAAGCCCCGACCTGCCGCTACCTTGAGGATCTCGCGGCCACCCACCGCCAGCGCCACATGCCTGCTCTGCAGGCCACACTGGATATCCTGGGCGCGAGTGCCTGGTGGCACCTGAACTTCAATGAACACCTCCTCCAGGGTCTGGTACCACTGGCCCCACGGGGTCCCGCACGGAACCACCCCACTGCGCTCCTCAAATGGGGCAGACATAATCCAATCGCTTCCCGGCTGCAGCCGCACCAAGCGAGCCGAGCGCAGGCGCGGAGTCCCACGCTCAGGTTACGCTCCGACCCCGCCTCTCGGATCACGGCACATGCGCAGGACGGCAAGCTGGTGTCCGGGCGTATGTTTTTCCATTTCAGTGGCCATTTACGACACTGGTAGGACCGAGTTTAAAAGAACTGGAATCCAGAGAAGTTTGCAGCCAAGGAACGATGGGAGAGGAATGGAACCAGAGACCCAGGAACTCACTACACTGTCACCTATATGACGCCAAAATGCAGATTTTCAAACGTCTCAGTTGTAAAAGTGCGCCTGCGCAAATGCTACTTGTGCGAAGGTTAAGATTAACAGCAGAAATGATTGGGTGGAGGGGGAACAGTAACAGTCTCCTATTGGCTGGTAGCCTAAACCCACAGACCACCTAATTGGACACAGCTAAAGCCCAGCGTCGCTTTTAGTATTCCGGTGTGGGATTGGTGTGCCTCAGGGTTTTGTTATCCAATTGGGTAACGTTAGAGGTGGGCGGGGAGTGTTCGGGGAAATTTGAATTTGAAGCCAGTAGGCAGTAATAGCCTGAAGGCAGTTGTCTAGGAGTAGCCGTGACTTTTCGGCCTCTAGAGCTGGTCGTCAGCATGTCCTTTCCTAAGGCGCCCCTGAAACGATTCAACGACCCTTCCGGTGCGTAAGGGGGAAGGAGCTGGGGGGCGGGATACGCTCTGACGCCCCTTGTCCCTCTCGGTTTCCTTCTTGGGGAGACCAGCTGGAGCAGATTTTAGGGCTGGGATGGGGTTCATTCAACTGATTCATTTCCCTCAAATACATACTAAGCATCTACTACGTGCGAAGCACTAGTCAGCAGTGAAACAGTCCCTGCGCCGTGGAGCTTATATTTGGGTGGGCAGTACTGTCAATAAACGATTAGCGATATAGAGAAACTAAAGCAGGTTAAGGGAATGGGCATGGACGGGGAGGCATTGGTAGCTATTTGATAGTCGAGTCGGAGAAGGCCTCACTGATAAGAACATTTGAGTATTTTCATCTGAATTTGTGGATTTCTTTTGGATATTCCATTTGAGCATAAAAAGAAGGAAGATTGGTAAAGGCAGTTATGGGTGTAAATTTATAATGGTAGCACTTACTGAAAACACTAAAAATGAAATTATTAGAGGCTGACATTGGCTACTTACCATACATCTCAGGCACCATAGTAAGTCTTTACCTGAATTGTTACTTTTTTTTTTTAATCCCCCAACAACCTTAAGAGATTGTTCATTATTTTATTATAAAAAGACCGGGACTTTTAAAGTTGCTCAATGTTACACAACCAAACTGGCAGAATTGGCTTACGAACCCCGGACTCCATGAATCTGTCATGTGATCTAAAACCCTGCAATGCATAAGCACAATAAACAGGAAGCCTTTGATACTGTGTGCTGGGACTATTTTTTTTTTTTTTTTTTTTTTTTTTGAGACAGAGTCTCACTCTGCTGCCTGGGCTAGAGTGCCGTGGCGTCAGCCTAGCTCACAGCAATCTCAAACTCCTCGGTTCAAGCAATCCTCCTACCTCAGCCTCCCGAGTATCTAGGACTACAGGCATGCACCACCATGCCCGGCTAATTTTTTCTATATATATTAGTTGGCCAATTGATTTTTTTCTATTTATAGTAGAGACGGGTCTGGCTCTTGCTCAGGCTGGTTTCAAACTCCTGACCTCGAGCAATCCACCCGCCCTGGCCTCCCAGAGTGCAAAAGCATGTTTTCTTAATTTAAAAACTCAAGGTCCTGGCTGGGCGCGGTGGCTCATGCGTATAATCCTATGTAATCCTAGCACTCTGGGAGGCCAAGGCGGGAAGATCACTTGAACTCAGGAGTTCGAGACCAGCCTGAACAAGAGTGAGATCCTGTCTCTCCTAAAAATAGAAAAAATTAGCCAGGCATGGTGGCATGCGCCTGTAGTCCCACCTACTTGGGTGGCTGAGACAGAAGGATAATTGCTTAAGCCCAGGCAGGAGTTTGAGGTTGCTGTGAGTTAAATTGATGCCACAGCACTCTAGCCCAGGTCACAGAGCAAGACTCAAAAAAAAAAAAAAAAAAAAAACTAAAAAAAAAAAAAAAAAAAAAACTAAAAAATCTCAAAGACCATATTATTTCCCAAGTATTCTCGAAGAACTCACATCTTAAATTCTGTCGGAAGTGTGGTTTTCAGGAGAGTTTGTATGTTTGTTTGCTTTTGCCTTATTATAATAGATTAAACTGGCTCTACCAATGGTAAATATTTCAGGCTCACAATTTCAGGAATAAAACTAGTTATTTATTTCATACTTAGTTTGTGTGAGTGTGAGGCACTGTGGTACTTTCTCATATTACTCCAATAATCTTCACAATCATACTATGAAGTAGATAATATTTTTTATTCCTGTTTTATGAATGAAGAATCTGAGATCGAAGTACTTTCCAGGGGACTTAAAGCTGTATTAGAAAAGGAGAATATAATGTTCTTATTCACCCTCTTCTCCCTATGTCTACAAGGTATCTAGTGTATAGCAATGTCTGTTGATTGGCAGATGCAGTGGGATTTGAACCCTGATCTGGCTAATTACAAAACTACTCCCAAATCCCCAACACGTTTTCTATGTTTTATTTTCCATACTGTTAAACTCAATCCTGAGCTAAATAAAAAGTTATTCTATGATAGGAAAAATATGTAAGCACAGGCTGGTGTGGAGGGAGTTTTCTAGCCTGATTACGGAATTCAGAGAAAACTAGAAGTGACATTCAGGCTGAGGTCTAAAGGATAAATGAAACTTAGCCGGGCAAAACAGAAGGTGGACTGTTCATTCTAGGTAGAAGTAATAAATAGAAAATAGAGAGGTCTGGAAGTTTGAAACATTTATTTAATGTAATACTTAATAAAATGTTTTGTTTGCATATAAATATTGGCTGCCTATGTTAGCTTTGGGTCAGTGTTGATGAAGATGTAAGTTGTTCCAGAAAGCTTTTGATATCTCCCAAGATATCCCATTTTGTCTGATGTCCCCTCTCCCCAGATTTCTAAAAAGTCATATATATGATGTAGAGCATGTAAGTGATGGTAAGGGAAAATGCACAGAACATGAAAATAGCATGTGCCACAGTCTCACAAAGCGTTGGTAAGTATACAGGCTGGATTTCAACCTAGATCCTTTTGAGTCCAAATCCATATTAACTATTAAATTTGACTCTGTAGAGTCTTTAGGGAAGAGTTTTTTGTTAAGCGTGGTCTTAATTGTTCTCAGCTTGCATATGCTGCTTAGTCACTGGCCACTGTCCCATATTTTGCTGGCCCTTACCTCCTTTGGGAGTGTGGACCCAGTGATGGACTAGGATTCTAGAATTCAACATCATTTTGTTTTTAATTCTGGCTGCTTGCCAAGTGCTTCTCACACTTTTCCACAGAAGCATCTTTAAGTGCAGAGAGTAAATGAGAATAATCATAGGCCCTGCATCATAACATTAATATTGTCTGCAGTTTCCTCTTTAGTCTTCTATTTGCATTAAAATCCATTATGTTGACCGGGCACAGTGGCTCACGCCTGTAATCCTATGACTCTGGGAAGCCGAGGCGGGAAGATCACTCAAGGTCAGGAGTTCAAAACCAGCCTGAGCAAGAGTGAGACCCTGTCTCTACTAAAAAAAATAGAAATTATTTGGCCGACTAAAAATACATAGAAAAAATTAGCCGGGCATGGTGGCGCATGCCTGTAGTCCCAGCTACTTGGGAGGCTGAGGCAGGAAGATTGCTTGAGCTCAGGAGTTTGAGGTTCCTGTGAGCTAAGCTGACGCCACAGCACTCTAGCTGGGCAACAAAGTGAGACTCTATCTCAAAAAAAAAAAAAAAAAAATCCAATATGTTCTCCATTCTCTCTCCATCCCTACCCTAAATGAATAAAATAGATGTTTAAGATGAGTGAATTTCACACTTCATCTCGAAACTCTCCTTCCTGACTAGAAATCCACTATTTCTACCCTTTATTGACCACACTTAGATCTGAAAATGTCCAGGACTGAAGTCTTTGTGTCAGTATATCTAAATGATAGTAATTCCAGATAGAGGAATGGAAACTTAATTCTATCATTAATAGAATTTTTATGGTCACTTAGAATTGGTGAAAGCTTATGGTTACTTAGAATTGGTAAATGACTTTAATGCTTTTTAAATTATTTCCCAGAGTGAGAAATAAATTTTATATTCCTACCTAGGATATGTTTTTTTATTTCTGCATATATAACTAAAAAGTTCTACAAAGCAATCCTTAACCTTGCTACATGTGAGTCATACTATTTTCTATTGTATTTTACTTGTTTTTAAAGTGTTAGTCAAGATCTAATGGGTTCCTATCTACCATTTGACCAGCACTTAGGGGACAGCAGTTGTTGCCTTGGAATGGTCAAAGCTCCTGCTGTTCCTATTTATTTCCATAAGACTCTAGACCAGCAGTCCCCAAAACTTTTGGCACCAGGGACCAATGTTATGGAAGACAGTTTTTTCATGCAGGGACACAGCCCCTCAGGTGGTGATACAAGTGATGCGGAGCAGCTGTAAATACAGATGAAGCTTTACTCACTGGCCCACTGCTCACTTCCTGCTGTGTGCACCCTCCTTCCAATTTTTCCATGGATGTACGGGAAGTGGGGGGGGGGGCGGAGCTCTATGGCTGAGTCCCTAACAGGCTACAGATCAGTACTAGTCTGCGACCTGGGGGTTGGAGACCGTAGGTCTAGACTATATTTTCTGAAAATAGCTTTTCAGAGAATAGTATTAATCTGTTGGTTCCCAATCAACTAAAGCTTTATGCTAATGGTATTTTAGTTATTGTAAATCATAAGAGCCCCTTCTCAAGTCTGATATGTGTAAACACTCTGAAATAGCCTCAGATTTGGGAGTCCAGTTAAATGAAGTTGTACAGTATAAACTTCTGGAACATAGAAATATTGTCTAGTAAAGTTTGTACTTTACATAACATGGCTTTATAAAGCCATATATATTCCCTAAGCCTCAAATTCTTTATCTGTAAATTATCACAGGGTTCTTGTGAGGATTAAATAAAATATCCATAAAATGCTTAGCATAATGCGTGGCATTTAGTGCTCAAAAAATTCTAGTTACTTTTAGCATGATTGCTCTTCTGTGTGTTCAAATTACAGTTGGCACTATCAGTAGGTCTGATGTGTTTATATTAGCTGTAGATGGATTATCACTATAAATTTTTATTCTAGGCTAAATCTTGAGGGCTAGACAGTTTTAATTGCTTTATTTCTGGAAAAT